AGATGCACTTGTTAGAATAGCTTTTCCAGAAACAACAGAAACACCACCACCACAAGGAAGGCTCAAGGTGAATCAATCCCAGATTGTTTGAGAAGTTAGCACAGGCATGCTAAGGCTGGGAGAGAGAAAACAATTAGGAAACTAGTCAAGGAGGCATCTCACACAAATTCCTCCTTCGTTTACAGGGGTCTCCATCATTCCTTTGAAATGTGCTCTTGTCTGGCTCAGTTCTCACCTGCTATATGAAGTTCAGAAGAAAAGTCTTTGTGCTATAGAATATCATGGTGCGCACACAGAGAGACATGATACTAATGAGCAGCTTCCCTTCAGTGATGCCCTGAATTTTCCCACTCTCTGTTTCATTGCATTTCAGCCATTTTGAATAAACATTCCTAGAACAGGGATTATAATAGTGAGAATAAATGCTGCTGTACTAGCTCCAAAGTCATGATAAATGCATGCAGTTTTCAAAACGCTTATTGAACATTGTGGCAGCTTCCAGGGATGTGTATGGTCTCATCACCAGCACACCTAGTCCTACATGCAAGGAACTGTGTCTGAGGGACCTGCCCTTGCCATTGATCATGACACCACCTACTCCTGTGTAGGTGTCTGCCCCCTGAGAAAGGTGGAAATAATTGCCAATCACCAGAGTAACTGAACCACACCAAATATGATTACTTTTGCTGACACAGAATGATTAACTAAGGATACTGTGAAAAATAAGGTTTCAATGGGCCCCCTCCAACACAGTTTTTGATGGCAAATGTCTTGATGATATTGTTGTTCAGTTTGACAAAGTACTGGCCCTTCATGGTTGTGGATGATGCAAGTTGGCCCAAGGTCCAAGTAGAATATGTTTCTTCCCAGAGGAGGTACCCTCTATGCTTCTGACAAAGACCACAAAGATACAGGAAATTGCAGAAACCTATCCGGGAAAGCCTGTTACCATTGCTGCAGCCACCGTGCCAGTTTATTTCAATGACTCTCAATGATGGACAACAATAGATGCTGGAACTATTGCTGACCTTGATGTACTTAGAGTTGTCAGTGAACCAGCTGTTGCTGCTATTGATTGTGGATTCGATAGGAAGATTGGAGCTGAAAAGAACGTGCTGAGTTTTTGTTTAGAGGTGGTACCTTTGATGTGTCAGTCCTCACTTTTAAGAATGGAGTTTTTGAGCTGGGCGGTGGTAGCACACACACTTAATCCCAGCACTTGGGAGGCAGATCCAGGCAGCTCTTTGTGAGTTCAAGGCCAGCCTGGTTGACAGAGTGAGTTCCAGGACAGGCTCCAAAGCTACAGAGAAACCCTGTCTGGAAAATCAAAACTCAACAAACAAACAAACAAACAAACAAATAAAAAAGGATGGAGTTTTTGAGGCCAAATCTACAGATGGAGATACATACTTGGGTGGAGAAGACTGACAACCAAATTGTCAGTTCTATTGCTGAGTTTAAGCAGAAGCAGCAGAAGAACATCTTTGGGATCAGAGAGCTGCCCATCATCTGCCCACTGCGTGTGCATGGCTAAGTGTACCCTCTCCTCCAGCACCCAGGCCAGTACTGAGATTGATTCTCTCTGTGAGGGAATTGACTTCTATACCTCCATTATCCGTGCTGGGTTTGAAGAATTGACTGCTGACTTACTCCATAGCACCACAGATCCTGTAGAAAAGGCCTTAAAGATGCTAAACTAGGTAAGTCACAGACCCATGATGTTGTCCTGATGGGCAGTTCTACTAGAATCCCAAGATTCAGAAGCTTTTGCAAGACTTCGTCAATGGAAAAGAACCGACTATGAGCATTAACCCTGATGAAGCTGTTGCTTCCAGTGCAGCTATCCAGAAGGCCATTTTATCTGGAGACAAGTCTCATAATGTTCAGGATTTGCTGCTCTTAGGTGTCACTCCCCTTCCTCTTTGTATTAAAGCTGCTGGTGGTATCATAACTGTCTCTATCTAGCACAGAACTACCATCTCTACCAAGTAGACACAGACCTTCTCCACCCACACCAACAACCAGCTAAGTGTGCTCATTCAGGTGAATGAAGGTGGGAGAGCCATGACTAAGGACAGAAACCTGCTTGGAAACTTTGAACTCATAGGCATACCTTGTGTACCCTGTGGTATTTCTCAGATTAAAGTCACTTTTGACATTGAGGCCAATGGCATCCTCAGTATGTCTGCTGTAGATAAGGGTACACAAAAAGAGAACAAGGTAACCATGACCAATGACAGGGGCCGCTCAAGCAGGGAGGATGATGAGCGCATGGTCCAGGAAACTGAGAACTACAAAGCCGAGGACAAGACGTACAGATAAGTTATCCTCCAGAAATTGTTGCTTTTAACATGAAAGCAACAGTCAAAGATGAGAACCTTTAAGGCAAGATTGATGATGAGGTCAAGCAAAATATTCTAGACAAATGTGATGAGATCATCAGTTGGTTGGCTAAGAGTCAGCCTGCAGACATGGGAGGAGCTGAACACTAGCAGAAAGAACTGGAGAAAGTCTACAGCCTCATCATCACCAAGCTGTAGCAGAGTGTTGGTGGCATGTCTGGAGAAGTGCCTGGGGGCTTCTCTGCAGGGGAGCTGTATCTGAGGGTGCTTCTTCAGGACCCACCATCAAAGAAGTCAAGTAACATCTAAGTAGTGATGTAGTGTTGTTCCACAGGGAAACATTTGAAGGGGCCAGATTTAGCAAGTTATGTGGCAGTTTTGGAGTTAACTTGCTACAATAAATTACTGGGCATTCTCAATACTTAAACATGGAACATGTACACAGGGAGAGGAAATAACATTGCACGTTATAAGTACTGTGCCCTAAGTAAAAAAATGCAATGTCTAAATTAAAACTATTTAAAATTGGCACTATAAAACTCTATCAGATTAGATATTTTTATTATTTGTTTTATTATACTTGTTTATTGGTTGGTTGTGTGTGTGTGTGTGTGTGTGTGTGTGTGTGTGTGTGTGTGTGTGTGTGCGCGTGCGCGCGCGCGCATGTTTGTCTGTGCATGCACTCATGTGATAGGCCAGTGTCACAGAACTTCTGTGGAGGTCAGAGGACAACTTTCAGGTTCTCACCTTCTACTATGTAAGTCCTGGTGATCAAACTCAGATGTCAGGCTTGGCAATAAATGCCAGCCTGCTGAGCTATTTTATTGGCCCTATTTATTTACTTGGGATTTTGTTTTATTTTTTAAAAAAATGTTTATTGCATTTATACGTACATAGGCGGGTGGGGCTTAGTGTAAGCCATGGCATACCTTCGGGGGTCACAGGACAATTGGGAGTCGACTTTCTCCTTCCACCATGTGACACCTGGGATTGAACTCAGGTTGTCAGACTTGACAGCCACCTTTACCAGGCCAGCCTGTTCTACAGAGTGAGTTCCAGGACAGCCAGGGCTGTTACACAGAGAAACCCTGCATCAAAACCATGCGCTGATGTAATGCAGAGAATATTTTAAAATCCAGAAGTCACCCACACACAAATACATAGAGCACACAGTGGGCTTTGGAGCAAACAGTTCTGAGTTCAGATGCTGGCTCTGCTTCTTGCTGTTAAATGTTAGCTCCCTAGGTACTCACATCTCTGATAAATGATTAAATAATTTCTGATAAATCATGCAATCATGAGGCATACTAAGAACAATTCCTTGTTTATCTAAAATCTGAGTTGGCTGGGCATAGCATTTGTGTTTTTTCTACCTCTCCCAGTTCTACCAGGCCTCCCTGAAATACCTCAGCTCTGATGAGCCATGGTAGAACTTAACAGGCCTTAGGGAAGATGTGGAATGATGTGTAGTGCTGTCCCCTGCTGGTAGGTTGTGGCAACAGCATCCATGTTAATAGAAGTGTACAGTGGGTTTCTTACTAGATCCCCAGGTCATAGACACATAGCTAACTGGAATTTGGCTACCTTAACTCCTTTAGTCTAAACTAATGATGACTTTAGTCCCACTGACACTATAGCGCTCCTCTGTAGTTATACAGCCTTACAACTTTTCTTTGTGTTTTAAGACGCAGTCTTCCCATGAAGTCCTGGCTGACCCAACTCACTATAAGCAACATACTGCCCTGACTTATAATTGCATTGGATTTCAATATGCTCTGTGCATCTCTTTAGAATTGTACATTTTCACTTAACAAAACCACGTTAAGGCTACCATTAGTACATGAATATTTTCTTGTTATGACAGAAGTATGTTGTGTGCCTGAAGTGCTGGCACATGCAAATACAAGAAGAACTGATATGTAATCAGTGATTGGTAAGGCCACTGGCTTTTGCTATCATGCATATATATGCCCCTGCCAAACACACACACACACACACACACACACACACACACACACGTACTTACACACACGTTAGATATTTTAGCATGGTGTTGTTACAGAAGAACTTGGTAGGGTGATGCAGAAATCTCCTCTACCAGTGAGGAGGACACACGAGGCTTTCTAAAGGGACCCCTGCAGGAGTAGAGGAAATGCCACAGCTCTCTCAAGAACTGCTCTCTCTGCATCCGTGTCTGCAGTTGAATGGTCCGTCTGGAAACTGACCTGCACTCTTTTCCTCGATTCCCAAGGCCTTCTGGAATGCCTTCATAATGATGTCTGTGACTGCCATTCTTTACCGGTTGCTTTCGGGAGTTACCTACATCACACTGGCCAGAGGGATGGATGTTCTTTAAACAGCACACCTCTGACATGCTAGCCCAAGCTGCTCAGTGTACCACTCAGTACTGAAGCTGAAGATCCCAGGGCTGGCCAGGAGAGTAAGTCCACTGAATGCCTCTGGCTCTCCGGAGCAGTGTCTGAACACCTGGTAGCAGAAACAGGAGCCAATGGGTTCCAGGTCAGTATCTCCCACCTTGGAAGGTTTCCTAAGGGAACTTAGGGCTGGTACCTGTCTCTGTCCACACTGGATCACGGTTACCTATATTTTTAACTGTTGTTGGGAGTAAATTCTTTGGTCTTTACACAGCTTTAACCTCTTGGTTTAGAAATGGAATGAGAATCCGATATGAAAGAAAGTGACTGGATCCTGAAGAAGCTGTGCAGAAAGGCTGCTGACATGTCTCTAGACTTGAACAGCTGTGGATTAACAGCAGCAGACGAGAAGGAAACAGGTCTGTATGATGTTAACTTTGTATAGAGAATGTAAGGCCTTTATATCAGGAAGAACAGTCAAAAGGTACACAGTGACCCACGTAGCACACTGAAGTCCCCTGAGTGGTCCTGGACACCCTCAGAAAGCAGCACAGCACCATGCACAGTGACCCACATGGCACACTGAGGTCCCTCTCGTGGTCCTGGACACCCACCGAAAGCAGCACCCAAACTGTTTATTCAGAAAGCAAACAAGCAAACTCACACTATGGGCTTGGACATGGCTAGTGAAGAGAGAATTTGCCAGCTTTCTCCAAGCCCTGATTTCCACCTTAACCCCACTTGTACCAGTAATTCCAGCTCTTGGGAGGTGGCAGCAAAGGATCAAAAGTTTAAGGTCATCTTTGGCTACTCGGGGAGTTTCAAGCCATCCTGGGATTCATTAACTCACTATTGTGAAACAAAACAAACCACCTTCCATTCTAATGAGAATCAAGCTTGGTGTGTTGGTTTTAAAGTACTGACAGTTGTTGGGGTTGTTTCTTGCTTTACAGAGAAAGGCATTGATTTCTTTGAACAAATAAAAGCTTTCTGTGTGGGCTTCCCTTAAAAGAAACGAGAAAGTAAATTGGTCCTCCCTAAAGCTTCTCAGATGTGAGTTGAGCTTAGATCGATTCACTTGTCTTCTTCCTGAGCAATTTTACCTACCTAGTGATTGCTTCTTGCTCTTTGAGATAAATATGTTCCCCAAAACTATAAACTCATCAGTCTAGCCCATGACACTGATCCCTACAGAGAAGTTAAAGGGGTATTGCCTTGTTTGGTATTGATGGACAAAGCCAAGACTTCAGCAACCATTGCTTACATCTTTTACAAACGAAAGTAACAATGTTTGCTGCCATAGCATACCTTCGGTTGTCAAGAGCTCCTCCTCCCATGGCATTCTTGTATTCTGCTTTTTAGATATCTTTAAATAAGCCTCTGATGAGACTGTATGTGTCTGCCAATAGATAGATGCCAAAACTACATTCAAATTAGGCATCCTCTGCTGTGAAATATTAGTTGAAGATGTGTTAAATTTGTTTATGCTGTATAATATTTAATGATGCAAGGGTGTATTGTATTCTTTTATGCTGCATTTATTTAGCTCTGTGAAGCTGTGTTACTTTGCCTGCTAAAACACCTGAATGATCTAACAAAGAGCTGAAAGGCCAATAGGTAGGCAGAAGAAAGGATAAGTGGGGCAGCCAGCATAGAGAATAAATAGGAGAAAAAGAGAAGAGGGAGGAGAGAGAAAGGGACGAGAAGAGGATGCCAGGGGTCAGTTACCCAGCCACACAGTCAGACACAGAATAAGAAGGAAAGAAAAGATATACAGAAATAGAGAATGGTTAAAAAAAAACAACCCAGAAGCAAAAGGTAGATGGGATAATTTAAGAAAAGCTGGCTAGAAATAAGCCAAGCTAAGGCTGGGCATTTATAAGCAATAATAAGTCTCCATGTGATTGTTTGGGAGGTATGTGGCAGGCCCCAAAAGAGCAAAGACTCAGAAAAATCAACTACAATCCTCAACTTAGTCTTAACCTACATGAGCTGCGGTAGGGAAACAGTCTGGCTAGAGTTTAGAAAGTGCAAGTCAATATGACTTGGTCTAGTGAGGTCTCAGCTACACCCGTACTTTATGGGTGTATTCCAGGGGTACCCTGCCAGAGCGGACAGGACAGACTCCTTCAAGCCAGCTCCTTTGGAAGTTACTTTTCTATTGCTGTGATAAAACACTAACCAAGAGCTTATAGGGAGATGAGTTTGTTTTGGACTATGGCTCCAAAAGGTTAGAGTCCTTAACTTTGGAGTGGAGGTAGTAGGCAGCAGAGAGACATGGAGGCTGGAGCAGCAGCCAGGGGCTCACATCTCCAGCTACAAACGGGAAACAGAGAGAGTATCCTGGAAACAGCACATGTTTTTTGAAACCTCAAAACCTGCCCCCAGGGACACACCTCCTTCATACAAGTCACACCTCCTGAGCCTCTCCAAACAGGAGTACTAACAGCTAGCCAAGGATTCAGATGCTGAGACTTGTGGATGCCTCAGTCAAACCACTACAGCCACTAATTATGCTTGTGAGTGCTCCACCTTCTTGACTTTATCACCTGCAAAATACCCTGTCTTTCTCTTTAAATTTTTTTTATTTTACTATTTTATTTGTGTGGGTGTTTTGCCTGCGTGTATGTATGTGCAAAATGTGCCACTGATGCCACAAGAGGGCACTGGACCCCCTGAAATTTGAGTTACAAATGGTTGTGAGCCATTAGAGGGGTGCTGGGAATTGAGCTTGGGTCTTCTGGAAGAACAGCAGAGCTCTTAACTGCTGAACCATCTCTCTAATCCAAGATCCTGCCTCTTTATTTTAGTACAGTGGGGATTAGCTTTCATGCGTGCATAGGGGAGGGGATGAAATACAGGTATTTAGATGATAGCACTATTTTAATTACTTATAATTAATTTTAATTAAAATCTATGCCATTATAGGAAAGGGCTCTTTAAAAAATGTTTTTAAGTTACACTAATTGTTCAATTAATTTGTTGTGTGTGTGCATATGCATATGTGCATGTCATATCTCATGTAGATTGGTCAAAAGACACTTGAGAAAGTCATTTCCCTCTCTGTATAGCACAGGGCCTTGAGATCAAGCTCAGGTTCAGGTTGAGTAGGCAGTGTCTTTACCCACTGAGTCATCACACAACCCTGGGATAGGATTCTTATCGAGAACTATAAGCCAAAGTCTAAGGGATCAGAGCGGCTCCATCTCTTCTGGGAATGCAGGCAAACCTACCAGCCCAAACCTACAGAATTGGACTATTCTGTCTGTGTTTTAGCAAGTCCTTCAGGGGACTCTTATGGACACTACCCTAGACCCATGTCTCAGCCAGTCCTCAGGGGACTCTGATGGAAGCTGGTTTTACCACAGGCATGTGTTTGAGTGCAGCAGTTGCATTTTCTTCATGAAGTTGCCAACAGAAAGGAGACTTGACATCCTTTATGAATTCAAACAGAAACTGGAATGAAAGCAGTCAGCTGCTAACTCAGTGTTTGATGTCAGAAAAGCATGATTTTTCTTCTCCTGTATGTTTGCTGCTGTTTTTGCCTTATGTATTCAGTGGTTTTGTCCTTTACAAAGTTTGGTGGTGGTGAATAGGATGCAATGGCTGAGTGCTTTGAATGCTACTAGAAGAAAGAGGTTTTTGCTGGAGCCATAATTTCAGAACTGGGACTCCAGACTCTCTTGATCAGAAACCACAGAAGCCCAATGCACTGCTTCCTGCTGCTCTTTTAACGCTCAGGACAGACTGTAGCAGCAATCAGGCATGCCTTCCCTACTCCACCATCTCCACCCATCTTGCTGTTCCTCAAGATAAAGATGTCCTTTAAGAATTTTTCACAGAGGGTAACTTTGCTTTTAACAAGCTGTGGTAGAGACTCAGAGAAAGCTGAATCCACACTCCACATCACTGTCCATTTAAGTATAAGATAGGGCTGAGCATGGTGGTGGCGCATGCCTTTAATCCCAGGACTCTGGAGGCAGAGGCAAGTGTATCTCTGTGATACAGAGCAAATTCCAGGCCAATCAGGGCTGCATAGGGAAATCCTCTCTCAAAATAATACTCAATAAGTAGGAGGTAGTGATGACTGGGTGATCAAGATAATAAAGATAATGTGTTGTGGAATATTATTTTAAGGAGGCAAAGATGTGCTGCATTTGTTTCTGCTGCCTTTATTAACGATGTAAAGATTTGTTCCATTTGTTTGTGCTGCGTTTGTGTTGGTATTTCACCTTGCCTGCTTAAGGCACCATATTGGTCTAATAAAAAGCTGAATGGGCTTGTGGACAAAGAGAATAAGTAGGAGAAGAAATCTGGGAAAAAGGAGAGAAGAAGGAGGAAAGAACAAGGGAGAAAGAGAGTACATGCCTGAGGCCAGAAGCCAGATGCAAGAAGCAGTGAAAGTAAGATATCTAGAAGGAAAGAAAGGTAAAAAGTTCAAGGCAAAACACAGGTAAAGACAAACAGATTAAAATAAGAACTAAGATATGGTTGAGTATCCGTAACTAGTAAGAAGTCTCCGTGTCTCCATGATTTGGGAGCTGGTTGATGGCCTAAAAGAAAAAGCCTGTACAAAAATGTACAGACAGTCCTGGTCTCTGCTGACCTGACCCTGGACATTGGCCAGCTGCCAGCAGGAGGGTCTGGTAGAGTAAGAGGGTCACAGAACATTAACAAATGCACTAGTGGCTGCAGGCACAGAGTTGCCATTTCCACCTCAGGGTTCAACAATGACAGAAAGTTCTGTAGAATCTTGTGTGGACATTACTGTGTTTATAGAGTGCATTTTTTTTCTTTTTGGAAAAAATAGTAAATATCCCAAGAAATGAGAAATATAAACGGGACAATTTCCTCACTTGAAAGCAAGAGGCTTTGCTAAATGTCAACATGCCTGCCCACTGTGTTTTCATATAATCTGAAACTACACCCTGAGAACATGGGCGCTGAGCTCTGATTTATTACAAATCACAAATTACACGCACAGATCTGCATTTTCTTCTGTCCACTTTAGCTGCTTTGTTGCCTCTCCTCTCAGACTTGGAAGAACTGGACGTTTCCTGGAATGATTTTGTCAGCGGAACCCTCCACTTGTTCATTGAGCAGATGCAGCAGGTCCACAAGCTGAAAGTCCTGAGGTTGAGTAGCTGCGGACTTACCAGTGAGGATGTTCAAACACTGGGTAAGGTGACACCTCCCCTAAAATGTAGTGACTTCTCTTTGAATTCCAACTCGAAAAAACAAATAGAAGAACAGGGACTGGGGAGGCGGCTCATATCATAAAAAGCTTGTCTTGAAAACTCCAGAACCCAAGTTTGAACTTCAGAGCCTACATAAACTGAATGTGGCAGTGATACCTGGTAGTGGGGGCGCACACCTTTAATCCCAGCACTTAGGAGGCAGAGGCAATCGGATCTCAGTGAGTTCGAGGCCAGCCTGGTGTGCAAAGTGAGCTTCAATTACCCAGAGAAACCCTGTCTTGAAAAACAAAAACAAAACAAACAAACAAACAAAATACAAAACCCAGTGCCACAGAGGCAGAGACAGGCTGATCTTTGGAGCCTGCTAGCCAGCCAGCAAGCTCCAGCCCAATGACAGACCCCTTTTCACAAACAAAAAGCAAAGCAAAGCAAAACAAAAACAAATGAAAAAAGAACAGAAAGACAGAGGCACTTGAAGAACAACACCAAAGGTTGTTTCATGACTTTCCCGTGTGTGTGCACACCTGTGCACACACATGCATATATACACACAATCAAAAATTTAGAAATGTAAACAGAAAACATGGCTTCCCTTGAAGCATCTTTTCAACCTGACACCTCAGGGGCAAACAATCAGTGTTGTCTCTGCATGTGTGGATGGTCAAGAGCATGCTAGGACACAGTGTTACTCTGGAGACTTCTGTGCCTTGGACCCCAGATTGTGCTGAGCTCTGTGGATAAGGACAGGAACAAAACTGACCAGACACCTGCCTGCATGGCTTTGTTTGTTTGTTTGTTTGTTTTTTGTTTTTTGTTTTTTTTTTGTTTTTCGAAACAGAGTTTCTCTGGGCAGCTTTGGAGCCTGTCCTGGCACTCGCTCTGGAGACCAGGCTGGCCTCAAACTCACAGAGATCCTCCTGCCTCTGTCTCTCGAGTGCTGGGATTAAAGGCGTGCGCCACTAACGCCCGGCCCTGCATGGCTTTATGGGGCTATTTCAATGCTATTTCACTCAGGGTCTCACAGTCTCATCTACAAAAATGGCAGAATTGGAGTAGATAGGCAGTTAATGTTTTAAAATTCCAAAAATAATACTTACCTCCTTTATCTTTCTAACTCACCTTTAAAAATTGATAAAAATGAGGGTTTTTTTTTTTTTTTTTTTTTTTTGCTACAACTGGAACCTCAAGTTAAATTAGACACTGAGGGTAAAAAAAAGATAAAATTTGTGAAAACGCATACTAATTACCCAAATGCTTTACTAAAATGCTCACTGGTTGATTTATTCTTCTCTATTTTGATTAATCATTTTGGTCATTCTCCTATCTTCAAAGATTTGTGTTAACAAAATGAATGCCAAATGTCTCCTCTTCTTATTCCTGGGGGGGGGGGGTGTCAAGGCCCTGACACCTCTTGTTGGTTGCTGTCTTACCACAGTTATTTTCCCTATGAAATGGTTTCAGGTAAGAAAGGGTTAATTTTCTCCCCACTCCCCTCTGAGCCCCCAGTAGTGGCAGTGGCTGTGGCTGCTTCTTGGCCACCCATCACTGCTTCTTCTCTAGGGCTCAGTTCCGTGGCACATTAGTCTTGGTGTTGAAGTGAGCTTTACCACTGTGGTGGTGAGTTTGCTTCCCTTCTACCTGTGTCCAGTCTGATGCCAGGGAGAACAGGTGGAGGGAGCAGATGGGCTGCCTTTGACAGGTACTACCCTCCGGAGAACAGGAGAACAGCCCGCAAAGATCTACTGTCTCTGGATCAGTTGTTTACAACTGTGGTTCGCTCAGGGACATGGCTTCCTGAGCTTTTGAAGGACTAGAATGCTGTGCCTGCAAATGAAGGCACTCACACTTGTTAGGGGCTGGTCCCTCTCTTGTCTTTTCTCCTCATCAGCTAACACAGTATCCACCCCATCTTCCATACTCCCTAAATACTGGCGGTCCTGGTTGTGGGTGACATCTCCGCCTTTCTGAGCCAGCACCCACTGAATTATGGGATATTTTGTACTTAGGAGATGCTCTCGAAATGATACCTGAACTTGAAGAACTGAGTTTATCCTGGAACAGCAAAGTGGGAGGAAAGTTGCCTCAGGTCCTCCGCACATTCCAGAAAGGGAGTAAAATTCAAACACTGGAACTTGTGGACTGCGCCCTCACATCCCAGGATGGGGAGTTTGTGGGTAAGTGGAATTTAGAAGAGTTCTTCCCAGAAAAATGTAGGAAAGAGGCCTATGATTGGCAGCTGGGGACTGTCCCCAGGTGCTCTCTGTCCCCAGGGCACGGGGAGCGGCAGTAGACCTCTGGCTAACCCCCTGGCTTCCATGTGGACACTCTCCATGTTGGATTTATTCCCTTTCAGGTCACTTGCTACCTAAACTGCATAGCCTCGAAGTATTTGACCTTTCCATTAATAGAAACATTGGCAGCAGTCTAGACATCATAGCACAAGGATTAAAAAGTACCGTAGGCCTGAAGGTATTGAAGTTGCATTCCTGTGGATTATCCCCAAAGAGTGTCAGACTATTGGGTGAGTTAATGATGGTTAAATTTAATATTACGCATGTAAAATGTGTCATATATCAGGGTTAGTGAGGTAGCTCACTGTGTAAAAGCACCAGGCCTGCTGCCCGAGTTTGATTCCCAGGGCCCATGGTGGAAAGAGAGAACCAACTCCCTGATCTCCACACATATACCTTGGCACTCACACACACACACACACACACACACACACACACACACACACCTATACACAATAGAAATAAACGAAACACTTTTAAATGTATCATATAAATACATAGCATGTGCATTATTTAAAACTTATTAGAACATATAAACTTAAATATTCTTTGTTTATTTTTTGTTTATTTGCTTCAGTGCTGAGTATCAAACCATCCTAGCCTTATTTATTTTTGAGATTGTTCACAGTAACCATACATTTTCATTATTACAAAAAAGGAAACAGAAAAACACAAAACAAAATAGAAGGACCCTCTTAAGTCAAGCTTGGTAGTGTGTACTTGTCCCGACCCGCAGGACAGCAACCTAGAGCAAGAAGCCCAGGGAAGGGAATGGAGACAAGAGACTCAAGACAATGACCACAAGACAGGATTCTGATCAAGTGGAAAATTTTATTTTTTCCAGGCTAGCTCATATAGTCAGTAGTATGGGGTAAAGGAGAGGGGGAGAAGAGGCCAAGAGCCAGGTGTTAGTTCAAGCAGGATGTTAGAAAACCATAGAAGGAGGATACTGGCAGGTTAAAAAGTTCATGGGTGGTTGGGAGATGGAGGCTTACCTAGGTAAATGGTGGGATGAGGAAGGGTTACTTAGGTAAGTGGGCCTATGTTTGGAACAAAGGATTGACGTCTGGGTCATGTTCCTTCTGGGTGCTCATGCTTCTAGAAGCCATTTATAATCAAAAGACAGTTCTATAACCCTGTGGCTTGCCAAGTTTGGCCTAAAGGTTCATGCCAAGCTGTATGGCTCCCAACAGTAGTGTAGACCTGACATCCTAAAGGCTAAGAAGGAAGGCCACAAGGTCAAGTCCAATCCAAGCACCTTAATCAAACTGTCTCAAACCACAAGTAAAAAAGGGTAAAGCTGCAGGGTACACCACAGAACAGACAAGCTTTGAAGATGACTAGCTCTGAGAAGGCCAGGGAATCTCTGGTATGGGCCCCACACTGGGTAGGTTTATTATCACTGTTGAAGACATCAGGTTTATTATGCTAGTGTTGGATGGTATTGATACGAATAAAAATAATAATAGTGGCTCCGGAGGTATCCATGGTGAACACTTGCACTCTGTGTAGTGTGGCCTCGTTATAGGGAGCAACATCATTTTCCCTTTCAGAGCCTGCACCATCTTTCTATCTGGCAGCCTGAGTAAATCTAAGGTCAGTGCTCAAGTGTAGTTGGTGGCATATCAAATGTTCTCAGAGACTTCAGGCAAGAACTAGTGGCAGCCAATTGGTATCTTAGAGAGAGAGCTTGTGAAGTCTGGGTCCACTGAGGCATAGTTGATAGGGACTCTGCAGTGACCTGCCTTTTGGCTTTAGAAGGACAGCACATTCACTTAACTCCTCTCCTGCTCTGTTCCCCTCCCTCCCCGCTCACCTTCCCACTGCCTCACAATATGAATCTCAGGACTGGGGTTGGGACGTGCCTTGTAGATGGTGCCTTTGCATCCTTGGATGTGCTGAGGACACTGGATCTCTCCTGCAACAAGGACCTGGGTGGAGGCTTTGAAGATGCACCTGCTCAGCTGGCCTTACTGAAGCATCTGGAAGTCCTGGATCTTCACCAGTGCTCGCTAACAGCAGATGACGTGGCGTCACTGAGTAAGTGGACCCTGTGGGTGTGCCTGGGAAGTTAGAGACCTGGGGCATATCGCCAATCAAGTCGTCAGAGTTTTGTGTGCACTGAACGCCCAGTAAATGTTAAGGAATCCAAGATTTGGTACTTGAAGGAGAGACTTTTGAATTTCTCTTGCATTTTAGAAACAAGTGTCTTAGTGTCACAACCTTGATTACTTACAGGTATGTAAAGAGAACATCAAAATGAGGCTTTTAAATGACAAAGTTAAGACACTTAGAGAAAAGGCAGTTCCTGAAAAGGAACCAGGGGTGATACATAATGGATAGACATTACAACTTCAGATAACGGCACTTATTTCCTACTGTCAACATTGTTCTGTAGTTATTACCTGTAATATATAAGTGCAATTTCCCATAGCAAGAAAACCAGAAATTACTCTTCCCCACCCATATGTGGCCATACTGAACTTCAAGATACTGAACATGACTTACCATTCAAATGTCTGCTACCCTAATTTGGGAAGCTGACATTTCAGGCCTCAACCATTGCAAAAGCCCAAATGTCTTCTTGTTCCTCTGTCTCTTTGTCTTTGTTCCCCAACCTCATCTCACTCCTCTCGGCCACACCATCCTCAGGCATACCAGGCACGAGGGAGTCCTTGAGTCTCTGTTCTTTTTCTGCTCAGATAGAGGGCAACTTCCAAGGTAAGAGTGGATCTGATCCTGAATCATCACCCCATGGCTAAAGTGTAGGTGCCACACATTCCTGGCTCCCACTAAGGGCATGCTTAATATGCAAACATATGGCAAATAAGAATAACACGGATTTTAAAACACACTTTGGGGAAGGAAAATAGTAAAAATGAAATTTTGAGTCTAAGAACCACCTTTTGGGTTTGCTGAGTTATTCCTCAGGCTCTCGTCCCTCGATCTGGAATAATGTAAAGAGTTCAAAGCTTTTGGGAAGACTTTAAAGTGGAAAAGTCCCTTTCACTACTCACAGAGCCTATGCAATGCCCTTATCCCTTTACTCACAGGCCGAGGGGATACTGCTGAGTTACCTGGCCACCAGATTTCTGTGGCACACCCCACAACTCTGAATGTCACATTTTACATTGTTGCTCTTGTGGGGCTATAATGGGCTACAGGAGCTTCATGTTAGCTGGGGGCATAGCACAGGAATAAGCCCTCCTTGTCTAGGACATGGGAGAATGCCCTGGGGAGCTGATGATCATGTAAGAGCAGTAGCCAATGGCATTGTTCTTCTGCGGCTGGACTTAAAAAGATGGAAGTGAGATGCTGCTATGCTCTGCATAGCATTGGACTTGACCTGACTTGGGGGATGAGGAATGAAGAAATGACAGACAGAAGCATAGAAAAGCTGACATCTGGTGGGCCATGTGCTTTGATGAAGACATACTGGCAGCCTGGAAACTTAGTGCACTTATTATATACCACTAAATGAGGAAGGGCTCTTCTTATATGCAGCTGAATACGGAGGGCAGTTCATTTGTTGGGGACCATAAAAATGGCTCCACTTCAGTTTGACTTAAGGTCAGAGAGTTCAAAACTATCTTTACTCTTTCAAGGCTAAAGTCATAATACCTAAAGGTCTACAGTGTGCCTACTGTAGGATGTTTGGTCTAAGGTGTGGATGCCTTATCTAGATTAATAAGAGATTAGGTCTAAGATGTGGTTACTCTTAACCTTCAAGGCCAGATAATGAGAGATTTAGTGTAAGGCGTGGTTACTAAATGTTTGGAGAATTAAGGAAGAAAGTCTGTTTGCTCCTTGTATCATGGTAAAGCAGTCTTTTACCATTTCTCCCTTTTGGGTTGGGGTGTATAAGAATGTTGAAGAATAAACTTGGGGCATCCAGTTTATATGCCCTTCTGACTCTATTCTGTGTCTCCATCTTCTCCTTGGTATCTTTACCTGCCATTTCCTCAGTCCACACTCCCCTCTCAGGTGTGAACCGGGCAAGTCAGCTTGATCCGCCTGAAGCCCCCCAAAGACAGGTTAGTGCAGAAATAAGGAGGGCGGTTTATACCGCCGAGTAAGGAGATGGGCTTATTATACACACCTGCATGAGGAGGGTGTTTATTATACACACCTGAGTGAGGAGGGAGTCAGCTAATCTTGATGGGGGGGGGTCTCTGTAGTGAAGCAGTCTCAGACTGCAGTCATCAAGAAGGAGGAAGCTATGGCTCCTACCTTCTGCACAACATCCATACTTGGACCATTCCTGAGCCTGACCTAGGGAAGGCCTTGCCATGGGACTGAGGCATCGGGTCCTTGACATGATGTTCTTGTGTCAACTATACACAGGACTATCTGGGTTCCCCATAACATGCATCCCATTTTCTACATTTATTTCTACTCCAAAGAAACAGAGGTGCTGCTCATTTAGCTAGTAACTACTGATTAATCTTCCACTTGTGGCCAGGCGTTGGTAGTGCACGCCTTTAATCCCAGCACTCGGGAGGCAGAGGCAGGTGGATCTCTGAGTTCGAGACCAGCCTGGGCTACAGAGCGAGTACCAGGACAGCCTCCAAAGCCACAGAGAAACCCTGTCTCAAAAAACCAAGAAAAGAAAAAAGAAAAAAAAAATCTTCCGCTTGTGAGGCTCTGTACCATGACCCACAGAATTCAGACAGAGCTTCAGTATTGTAGGGCAGGAACAAAACAAAACCTACTCACCGTTATGTGGTGAAATGGGAATTGCTGTGGAGGGTGCCAGGGAGTGTCTACCCCAACTGGGACCACGAGTCCCACTTTCTCTTCTTTCTTTTCCTAGACCCCTCTCTCATACACACTTTTGTGTCTTGATATTCTGGATACTGACCCCCACTCTGGGGATGAAGTAGTTGCCCCCACACAGTACTCATCTTCAGTGTGGGAAGGAAACAAATATGGAAGCAAGAAAACAGTGTGCAATCATGGGTGCTGTGAGAAACATGAGGGACAGTTATTAGTTACTTCTCTGTTGCTGTGAGGAAACACCATGACCAAGACAACGTAGAGAAGGAAGAGTTTACTTGGGCTTGTGATTTCATGAGTTTAAGAGCCCGTGACAGTGGAGCAGAGGCATGGCGACAAGTGGTGGGAGTGGCAGGAAGAACAGAAAGCTGCAAGTGCATATCTTGAACCTCAAACACAAAGCAGAGAGTCTTTAAATCCTCAAAGCCTGCTCCATTGGTAAACTTCCTATAAGGCCAAACCTCCTAAACCTCCCCAAACTGGGGATCAAGTGTTCAAACATCTAAGCCTATGAGGGACATTCTCATTCAAACCACTACAAATATGATAGTGACTGAGAATACTTTGCCTTGCGTGGTCCTGGGAGACTCCACAAGATAAGCTAGTTCCACAGGTCTCCTAGGATAATGTTTCCTATGTTGGTAATTGCTCCAGAGAGGCCTATAAGCAGGCAAGTAGTAGAAAGATAGACTCTGGCTACCTGCAGCACCAGCACTTACTTACTGGGTCAAGGTTACCTTATATGTCTGGTGAGAAATGAATCTTTGGCCAGGCATAAGTTGGAGGGATCACAGCAAGACTGAGGCTGTGACAAGATTATTCTAAGCAAATAGACTTTTTATACCTGTATCAGAAATATAGTATAATGGCAATTGCTAGGATCAACACAATGGCAGTTGCCAGGTTACAATGACATTTGCAAGCTATGCAGGGTACACAAGATTGATGTTTAAGACCAACTGTCATGCCAAATTCCATATGCTTCATTGACTTCTAGGGAGCATATAGAGTCAGAGGGTGGTCTGAAGGCTTCACTGCCTGAGGGAGTGTGTCAGTCTCTCAGGACCTGAAAGGCACACAGTGCCCCAGGAACCATGGACTTTAATATGGACAACCTACTATGCATGCCTCTTAGGCAGCTAGGCCAAGCAAACTCCACAATTCCCTGCAGCTCCTTTTGACTCAGCAGGCTCCTTAGGAGCCCTCTCCATTGCTGTCACCAACAGGCACCTGCTGGAACTGCTCATCTTTCCTGGCTCTTAACGGTCTGAGAAGAAAATGATCATGTCAGACATGAACATGTGCCAGTACTAAAGGAAACTATTAGGAACAAGCCATTTCAGAGAAGCTGGCTAGTGCAAAACTCATACAGGGTTCACTATTGTTTATTGCCTTTGTGGTCCTGGGTTTGACCCTAGGACCTAGTCACTCTAGCAAATACTCTACCACTGGGCTCTACACCCAATCCTCTTTTGTGTCTTTTATTGTGAGACAAGGTCTCACTAAGTTGACCAGGTAGGTTTTGAATTATCAACCCCCTTTCTTCAGCATCCCAAGTGCCTGGGATTAGAGACTTGAGCCACCAGGCCCAGCTAATTACACAGTTCCAGGATTAGAACTCAGTTCCGTCTCCTAACCTTTGCTTTTACCTTCTAGTTCACGGAGAGGCTCAGGAGTAAAGAAGCCCAAGGAACACCCTGGAGAGAGGCTGTTTTGGTGGTGGTACAGTCTGTGCAGGGGCAGGAGGTTGGTCCCAGGAAAGGAGGTGTTTGGTAGAAGCCACGTTAGGAAGATGGTGAGATGGTGGGAACAGACGTTCTTACGATGCTGTGAAATGGTGCCTCATATGTATCATGGTTGATATTTCCACAGCTCAGATAATCCCTTTACTTTCAAACCTTCAAGAACTGGATTTGTCATCCAACAGAAAGGTGGGAGTCTCTTCTGAAACCCTGCTCAGCAGGCTCCGATTTGTACCAGCACTGAAGTCCTTATTTATCAACAGATGTGCTTTGGAAAGTGAAACTTTCACAGCCCTTGGTAAGACAGCATCCTAGCTCCCAGCATGCACTGGGCAATGACCTAAGGGAGAACAACCCCCCCAACACACACACACATACTCACACCATGATTGTGAAAAGGACTAGTTACTAAGGACTAATTGGGTGTTTACCTGTTTTTGTTTTTCCAGTAAATATATTCTCTTAAAGGTGATCTTAAAGTTGTATGAATGACATTGGCACTTATTTTGCTTGTATTATTTTTTGTGATAGGATCTCATATAGTCTAGGCTGGCCTTGAACTAGCTGTTCGGCTGACAGTGACTTTGAACATTTGGTCCTCCTGCCTCTTCCTCCTGGAGCTGGGGGTCCAGACATGCATTATCATACTCAGTTTGTGTGGCACTGAGGGTAGAATCCAGGACTTTGTGCATGTTAGGCAAGCACTCTACCAACCAAGCTACATCTGACGTTCCCTGTAGCATTTTGCTTTAAATTTTTATGAAGTCAACTCTAGACATCTATCTGGTAACTTGCAATTTTCTGAAAGGGAACATGAATTGAGGATGCTGTGAGTTTGATGGGAAGGTGAGAGACTATTAGTGTCTGAGTCTAGCTGATGCCCCCAGCGTCCGTTCCCCACAGCATCTCATCTCTGCTCTCTTAGGAATCCCGTAGGTCATGCATCTATCCTAGCCTATACCATGGGTCTACCAGATCTAGATTTTCTTCCCTTTGTGGCTGGAAAGTGCAGGGAGGTGTGTAGAGGTGACGGAACATTGCAGAATATCCCAAACATACCATAACTCAGGTAAACCAGCACTTTGTGCACACAGTATGGGGACAGGCACTGTTTCCAGTTTCATTGATTCCTAAGAAGACTCAAGTCTCAGAATATGGTTGTACTCATAGCAAAGATTTATTATAGGGAAAAGACACAAAATAAAATTGGGAAAGGAAAATGTTTGTGAGACAAAGCCCCAAGGAACCAGGTGCAGTCTCCCAAGAGTTCTTTCTCAGTGGAGCTGAACAGGGTACATTTAACTACTCCAGCAATGAGCTGAGCCATGTGTGTGACTTATTCTATTGGGGCTCATCTGAACCTCTTAGCAAGGGTTTCACTGAGGTTCAGTCATACAAATATCCTCTCCCTAGAACATTAGGGAATTCAAGACTCACAGAAGGAAACTGGTAGATGTCATAATTCATATTTTTAATACAAATAGATTAGGCACTGGAGTGATGTCCTGAGGAGGCTGGGTTGTGAGAGCTTTTGCCTCATCAATGCATTAACCATGCCAGACTCAGAGTTGAGCGGGCTGGGATCAGTGGGAGGTGTGGTCCAGTCAGGGAAAGGTATCCTGGAGAATGTCCTTGATAGTCGTATCGTATCCTCCGTTCTTTGGGCTTTCTCCTTCTGCTTTTTGGAGCTCTGCTCCACTGCTCACTCTCAACAAAACGTTCTGTGTCACCAAAGCCTGAAGTTATAGAGTCAAATCTTTGCTCCTTTGTTTCCCTTGGGTTGTTTTGTCTTATATTTGACACAAGGTCACACTATCTAACTCAAGCAGGGCTCAGACTCTCCATTCTCCACCTATTTCTCCTGCATGATGGCTTTATAGGCAGGCACTACCATGCCTGGCCTTCAGGGGCATTTTGTCACAGCAACAGCAATCTGACTAACTAGACTAATCTTGGATCCTGAAGACTGTTACCAGCCTCAAAAATTGTGGAATTATTCATGTCTTTAAGGTATTATCTGATTCAGGATTTAAAGGAGCAATCCAAAACCAAACCAAACCCACTACACTCCCTAGAAACATAAAGTGTATTCTCTGTCATCAACCACTAAAGAAGTTACAGGTTCTCCAAATAAAAATTTAAAACAGCAAAGCCAAAAAGAAACCTAATATGCTCTTTTTGTAATTGCACACATGACTAGAACTGCTGGATTTGGTGTGAATTAGTTACTTTACTTGAAGTTGTGACAGAATGCCTGGCAAAAACAATTTAAGGAAAAGAAAGATAGTTTTTGCACACAGTTTGAGAAACAGTGCCAGGAGCATGGTCACATGACAGCTTCATTAAGGAACAGAGAGAGTTGGATGCTGGTACTTGGTTTGCTTCTCCTTTTCATTTAGTCCAGGGCTCCAACCATGGCCTAATGCCGCCCACCTCAGGGAGTGCCTTACTTCTTCAGTTAATGGTGTCTGGAAACACCCCCACAGGCACACCCAGAGGTTCATTTCCACGACGATTCTTGGATAATGGTGGAAACAGTTCTGCTTTTACTCCTCTTATATATACTATTATAGTTTAAAATTCCATTAAAATTGTGCCATGAATTGGACAGGGCTATAATTAAATGAATCAAATGTACTCTGTTAACAGAAATAAGTGGTTATTTTCTAGTACATATTCATCAGAACCACTTACTCCAGATTCTAAGAAGTCTGTGTTTAGAGAGCTCTTGTCTTCCTTTCAGCCCACACATACCTGCTCTTTTCTGTGTACTTCTGCCAGCCCTGTCCCAGGCTATAAACCTTTCAGACTTGATGACTTTAGCATGGGGCCCTAGAATGTCTGTAGAATGTCTATAGATGTGTTTGGCAGGGTCTCTGCGTGCCTTAAAGTTGATTACAATTACCCTGTGGCAGGGGTGTTTGGTTCACCTGACAACAACACACCTGTAGTCCCATCTGGCCTTGGCTCTTGTGGCCTGTGTGACTGCAGGTCCCCAAGACGTCAGTGTTTTCACTTGCTCGTCTGTAAAATAGAGAAATGTGACAATGGCATGTATATCACCAGCCTGTAAGAATCAAGTGGCTTTAATACATAGACAATCCTGGGGAAGCTGCCTCCTCCTAATGCTCAACAAATGTTAGTTGTTTATATTATTGTAGAGTCTGTAAATGTCATTTAAAAGCAAGTTGGGTTTTGTCGGTTTTAAAACGGCCAGGACAGTTCCTGTAGCAGCTCAGGGGGAGCCCACATTCCTGGGTGTGACCTCAAAGAGTCAGGTGAGCAGGCCCTAGCACCTCTCTACCTCTTTGATCCAGCCTCAGGCAGATTCTTTGTGGTCCTTCAGTGTCTCTGAGTTCTCAACTCTCCTTATTCTGATCTCTGGAACATTCAGCTTCCAATCTTTGCTCTTTCCTGGTAGTTCTCACACAATTTTCAGGTCCAGGTGTGACTATTGCTTTTTAACACAGTCACCATCTAAATTAGGAGCCTCTTGTAGCCTTTGTCAGAATTTATAATTAAAGCAAAGTGTGTGGTGCCTGCCTGTAGTACCAGCATCCAGGAGGCTGAGGCAGGAGGATGGCAGGCCAGAGGCCAGTATAGCAAGTACCTGTCTCAAGACCAAACCCAACTCATGTAGTTCTCTGTATGGTTGTGTAAGGTCCCTCCTTGAAGCATGTTTTCACCATTCTCTACATTATTAGTGATTAGTAATAGGTTATTAACAGACTTCTCAAAGGAGTCTGTAATTCATCAAATGATTAGGTAAACACATAAAACAGACATCCTACTGCTTAATGTTCATTTGGAAAAATTACAGAATACAGTAATTTGGAGAACAAAATGATGTTTCATAAATATATCTCCTAATTGAGAAAATTCTATATTGCTTTAGAATAAAAACTGCTGAAGAAGTGGCAGGTCTCTAGAGACAGCTCCTTCAAATTCCAGCTCTATAGTCAGTAAAGAATACGAAAACTATTACAGAAAAGCACATTGTTGACATAAATTGACCACTCAATTTGATAAACATTCTACATCACTTTTATAAGAAAAATGGAAAATTTGACTTCTCTTTATTATAAACCCGTGTGCCATGAGTGGGCAGGATTTCCTCTTAAACACTATAGAGAAAACAGCACAATTAAAAAATGCTTACTATGGTTGTTAATAAATTGTTATGATTAATTTTAACTTGGGAGCCATCTGAGAATTAATTAGCATTTAAAAACTCCATCCGAAATGTGTTAGTTCCTTTCCTGTGTCTTTGTTGCTTTTCTATTTCTGTGAAGAGACACCATGACCAAGACAATGTATATGAGGAAACATTTAATTTGGGGCTGGCTTATGATGCAGAGGATGAGTCCATGCCATCATGGTGAGGAGTGTGTCAGCAGCAGGAGGCAGGCATGGTGCTGGGACAGTATCTGAGTGCTCACATCTGATCCAGAGCAGGAGACAGAGGGAAACTGGGCTTGGTGTGGGCTTTTGAAACCTCAAAGCCCATGCAGTGACACACCTTCTCCCAAAGGCCATGCCTCCTACTCCTTCCCAAACAGTTCCACCAACTGGGAAACAAACATTTGATTATATGAGCTTATGGGAGCCATTCTCATTCAAAGTACCACCCCTTGCCTGGGTAATTGATGAAGTAAATATAAACACAGCTCAGTGTTCTTGGGTCTTAGAAAAGCTTGGGCCATCTCTGAGTTTCAACAAGACCATATATTGGCATAGCTACCAATCCAGGTGAACTCTGAAAATTCTGACCAGCTTTCCAGGCACCTGAGCCCTTTCTACTTCTTAAGTACAAAAGAAATACAAGAAATCCTAGCTAATGGTGAATCCCATTTAATCAAGTCTAGCTTTCTAATGTAGACAATAGTGTCCCAAGTACAACCTTTTCAGCTCTGGGTATGTTAATACACTGTCCTGGCTCTTATGGTCTCTCATGGGATCCAAGTTACTGATGCTCTTCTCATTACAATTTTAGCTGAAGCCACTGTTTACCTCCCTTCTCTGAAAATGCTCAACCTTTCCTGGAATAAGTGTGTTGGTGGTAACCTGGAGCTGCTTCTTCAAACACTGAAGCTGTCACGGTCACTCCGAGTGCTGAGGCTGAGCAGCTGCGCCCTGGTGACAGAGGATGTGGTTCTTCTGGGTTTGTATTAATCCTCCCAAGGGTAGACTTGGCACAAAGATGGTGGACCTGGGGCTGGGGGACCAGGCTGTGGCAGCTTCCTTTTTCCCAGTGTCAGTTTAAGAGAGATCTGGTTAAACCAAATGGTGTAATTCTGAAGCAATGACAGGAGAGTGTTCTGAAGAGAAGATGGTCATGAGAAGGGAGGAGGCATTCCTGTCAGGTAACTTCTGCTTCGACCACTCACAAAGAGTCCATCATGTATCACTTACTTGCACTAACTATGCCCCAGCTACGTGGTATTTGCACTATCCATTTTTCCCATAGGTTGACACCAAAACGCTTTTGAGGTCTATTTAAATTAAAAGGGGTGAGGGTCTGAGGATGTCTCTCAGTAGTAGAGTGCTTGCCTAGCATGCATTGGGCCCTGGATTCAATCTCTAGCATCTCAAAATAAGTTAATAATATACAAAATTAATACAGTGAACTAGAGAGATGTCTCAGCAACTAAAAATGCATAAATTCTCTTGCAGAGGACCCGTGTTTGGTTCCCAGCACCCACACTGGGGTACTTACAGCTTCCATAGTCACCTGCAGTTAGTTAGTTGTGCATACCTCTACATAGACACATACACTCATATATAAATAAAATATACATTTTAAAGTTAAGTACATAAAAGATTACATAAAATAAAGAAAAAACATGCCAGGTGATGGTGGCATACACCTTTAATTCTAGCACTTGGGAGACAGAGGCAGGTAGATCTCCAGGTTCAAGCATAGCCTGGTCTACATAGTAAGTTCCAGGACAGCCAGGGCTACACAGAGAGACTCTGTCTTGAAAAAATTAAAGAAAGAAACAAGAAAGGAAGGAAGGAAGGAAGAGAGAGAGAAAGAGAGAGAGAGAGAGAGAGAGAGAGAGAGAGAGAGAGAGAGAGAGAAAAAGAAAGAATGGAGGTAGGGAAGGATACAGCTTGTCATCATAGTTGAAGTATGATTATCACTTACTATAGATATTACCTTGCTAAAGGCTCTGAGTAGAAGTTCATTCTTTCAGTGTCATGACATGAGACAGCTTAAAGGGATACTGTAGCACAAATCTGACACTTCCCCTAGGGCAGTTTAGAAGTATGGAAAGAGAACCAAATAAGGACTAATTTAAGCACTCAGAGTCCAGGCTCTGAGTCCATATAGCTGAGCTCACTATCCTCAAATTATAGTACTGGTGTCTACGTCCATCTGGGAGCAATGGAAAGTGTAGTGGCTCCCACCTGGCTTTAGTGACCCCTATCATGACTCTGCTAGCAGCTCCCTGATTTCTGGAGCCACAAATATCCATTGAGATGAGCTGACCAAGGGGTGGGTGATAGGTCAAAGTCACTAGAAAATAGAGTGAGGTCCTTCCACAAGATCATCTTCAGGATGAACTGAAAGAGCATGGGGTGGAGGACAGAATCACAGAGGCCATCAACAGAGGTGTCAAGGGGACATTTCACATATCATTTATCTGTGGGTTAGATGAAAACTCCCCAAATCCTTTGTTCTGAGGTTCTGTATCACTTTTCTCTCCTCCCTAACCCTTTTCTGGGTCCAGCTGAAGAGAGATACAGGTGCCATTTGCCTTGGGTAACTTGCCTACTTCTTCCTGCAGAAGCCATCATCTTCTCTTAGGCCACAATATGATAAAGCAGAAACTCTTCTGTGCACTAGACGTCTCCAAAGTGAACAAGAAATTTTCCAGTGCATCTTGTACATTGGATTTAGTGTTAGGAATGGTGATACAGCTCAGTAGTGGAGTACTTACCTGGCATGCTTGAGACCCTAGGCTCAATGCCCAGTACCTCCAAAATGAATGTACTCAGTCAAATAAGTGTTGAATGAATAGTGATAGGATTAATAAGCAATGAAAAATTAACCATCATTTAACAGCAAGGTGGCTGTGTGCCAATGGTCCTTAGAGCCAGTGCTCTGACTGTTAGAGAAAGTAGAGCTGGGACCCAAGTGGGGCAAAGCACTTAAACTAATACACAAGTGAAATTCTTCCAGTCAGGGTTTAGGAAAGAGGGGGCGGGGGATGTTTATTTTCAAGCTGTACATGGGATGCACGGAGATAAAATTTCTTACTAAAATACTTTCTGGTGCCCCAAATGAAACCACTAGCTAGCAGCAAGTCATTATCAATTGCTACTAATCTCAGAAGAGGGAACAGCCAAAGCTGTTCCTTATATCCTTATATTCGGAGTGATTTTCTTTTCCAGCCTCAGTCATATGGACAGGCCATTTAGCCGAGCTGCAGAAGCTTGACCTGAGCTACAACGACAGCATCTGTGACACGGGATGGGCCATCTTCTGCCAAAACCTCTGCTTCCTTAAAAAGCTAACTGAACTAGACATCAGCCTTCCGCCATCGAGTTCCCGGGGTTGTGGGCGATGGTTTAGGCACTTACTATGTGCTGTGACCAAACTTCCTGTGGTCACTGAGATAGGAATGAGAAGATGGGTCATCCCAGCCTCAAAGGAGGAAGAACTAGAATGCCTTACCCACAAGCACAGAAGGGGCATTCAATTTGACCACGGTGGGTTTCAGCGGGCTGCTTCCTAATAATGAACAGTTCTCTAATGGAGGAAAAGAATGTGAATGAATCCCAACATCAGCTGAGCTCAGATGTGTTGTTTAGTAGCATTTATGTTAAAAGATTTTTTGTAATTATCATATATATAACAGTGGTTCTCAACCTGTGGGTTGTGAGCCCTTTGGGATCAAACAACCCTTTCACAGGGGCCAGCATTTCACATATTTACATTATGACTCATAACAGTAGCAACATTACAGTTATAAAGTGGCAACAAAATAATTTTATGGTTAGGTCTCACGACAACATGAAGACCTGTATTAAAGAGCCACAGCATCAGGAAGGTTAAGAACCATATATGGGACTGCAGAGATGGTTCAGTCTAGAAAGTGCTTGCTATGCAAGCATGAGGACCTGAGTTTGATCTAAGCAGCACACATTACCAAAAAGCAAGGAGTGATTGCCGAGAGCTGCTAGTTGCAAAAGACTATACTAATACACAACAGTGACAACTAGTATTTAACTAACAAGTCGACCTACCAGAAGTATAACACCCAGTTGGAAAAGCCCCACTTGGCAAACTGTGGGGTTACTGACTGTAAAGGACTAGTTGTTTCTGTCCATAACTTTCTCAAGTGCCACTACTATATCTCACTAATAAGAACAGCTGTGAGGTTCTTTCCCCAGCCCTTTGGCACGTATTTTACTGCGGATTGTCAGGAAGATAATTTCTGCTTAACTGTATAATTTTAGTGAATAGAAATAGTACTAGGATATTTTACATCATTCAGACTAACATAGGAAAGTAATAGTGTTCTCAGTCATGAAGACAGCCTTTTACACAAACATCTAATTTTAGACCAGAACAAATTCAAAGCAGGCTGGCTGCCCCTGGTGATGAATATCATAGTGCCCCTAGAGACAAATACATGAGGTCATTTTCCCAGGTGTCTGGCTGATTCAAGGTCAGAGCTTGAAGCAACCTTAGTATTCATAACTCCTTGCCTCAATGGATGCCTTCATGTACTCCCTAACACTCAAGGTCCAGTTAATTGAGTGTTATTGTTAAGTCTTGAATTCCAATGTCATTTTCTGTCTGGGAACAACAAACCATTTAAACTATGCGCACGGCCAAGTGTTAATCACTGGCCAGTCAATGTGACATCCCTAGCCTAAGAGAAACTACATGACTTATGTTATGAGAATGGGTGGGGCCCTGAAAATGGTTGGCTGTGAAAGGAGCAGCACAGTATAGAGGAGAGAGCTGTGTTGAGCTATGTAGGGAACTGCTGGAAAAGAGCTGTGCAGGGGTGTGAATGAGGGTGTGTGTGCTGAAGGGGAAATGTAAGAAGAAATGTGAAGGCATGTAACTATGTGGAGAATGCATGAAGAACATAGAGCTACGTAAGAGCTACACAGAGATTGAGAACGTGTGTGTGCCGGGTGAGGGATATAGTTGAGAATGATGTACAAGTATGTGAGTATGAGTGAGAGTGTGAATGTGTGAGAAAGAGCTGTGTGAAAGAGTCGCTGCTACATAGAGGAACTGTGCGAAGTGCTGTATGGTGAGAGAGCTATGTGAATGAGGTGTATAGCTGTGGCTGTGTGGGGATTTGTAACTGTGTGGAGACAAGGAAGATGAGGTTGTATAGGAAGGAGATGTAGAAGAGAAATGTCTGTAAAAGAAAGATGTGTAAATAGATGTAACTGTGTGTAGAGATGGATGGCCGTGTAGGAGAGAGGTATGTATTAAAGAGAGATATGTAGCTGTATGCAAAGAATGTAACTGTGTGGAGGCAGATTTTTCAGGGGGGATTTTTTTTCAAGATGAAGTAAAGAGAAAGTTACATCAGAAAGCGTCTGTTTTCTTATTTTCCCCCTCAGATAGAGAAAGTCTAGCCCTCAGATAGATAAGAACTTTTCCTAGCCCTTGCTGTCTAGAGACATTTCTTTTTGCTATCCTAGAGCAGTCATGGGATCTTTCCTCCACAGACTGCGGCAAGTGATGATGTGCTTGTAATCACAGTGCTGTGGAAACAAGAGACAGGCAGATCCCTGAGACTCCCTGGCAGCCAGTCTGTCAATAGCCAAGTTCCAGGCCTAGTGAGAGCCCATGCCTCAAAACTAGGTGGGTGGTAGACTGATTCCCATTTTCCTGAGGAATCGCCATACTGATTTCCAAAGTGGTTGTACAAGTTGGCACTCCCATCAGCAGTGGAGGAGTGTTCCCCTTTCTCCACATCCTCTCCAGCTTAAACTGCCATTGGTTTTTTATTTTAGCCATTCTGAGGGGAGTAAGATGGTATCTCAGAGTTGTTTGATTTGCATTTCCCTGATGGCTAAGGATGTTGAACACTTTCTTATGTGTCTTTCAGCCATTTTCGATTCCTCTATTGAGAATTGTCTATTTAGTTCTGTACCCCACTTTTTAATTGCATTGTTTGGTGTTTTGGAGACTAGCTTCTTGAGTTCTTTGTATATTTTGGAGATCAGCCCTCTGTTGGATATGGGGTTGGTGAGTATCTTTTCCCATTCTGTATGCTGCCATTTTGTCTTGCTGATTGTGTCCTTTGCCTTACAAAAGCTTCTCAGTTTCAGGAGGTCCCATTTATCAATTGTTGATCTCAATGTCTGTGCTACTGGTGTAATGTTCAGGAAACAGTCTCCTGTACCAATTAATTCAAGGGTATTTCCCACTTTGTTTTCTAATAGGTTCAGTGTGGCTGGGTTTATGTTGAGGTCTTTGATCCATTTGGACTTAAGTTTTGTACTTTGTGATAGACATGGATCTATCTCTAGTCTTCTACATGCCAGCATCCAGTTATGCCAGCACCATTTGTTGAAGATGCTTTCTTTATTTCATTGTATAAATTTGACTTCTTTGTCAAAAATCAGGTGTTCATAGGTGTGTGGGTTAATATCAG